TGATAATAATGTTGCAATACCACTGATTTGATCATGAAAACAAGAAAAAAAAATAATGTACATGCTCATTGTTTAAATATGAAAGAAATCTAAACATATCCCAATAATCCAGACATTCAGAAACAACTCTTAATATTTTAATGTATTTCTGCTCATCTTTCAATGCATATAACCCTAAATTGTTCATTTTTTTCCTTGACAAAATTAGAATTCTATACAACTCTGCATTCACCTTTGCTTTCACTTCATTAAATGAGTGTTTCCAGTATCTAAAATACTTTTATTAGACGCTCCAATTTGTTTAAAACACTGATGGTATAAGTTGGCAAACTTGTCTCTTACTGGTAGGAGAGAGTCAATATCTGAAATTTAAGAAAAAGGCTCATTTTAAAAGAATCACTAAAATCAAGAATGACAATGGTAGCACATTTCCTCAAGTAATTTAATTAGGAGAAATAAAATTAAAAGAACATGCATTTGATATGCTCTATAATAGATCCTGATGAACGGATTTTATAAGAAGTCAGACAACAGAAGTAAAAAACAAGTTGTTTTTGCTATCAGTGTGTCCTATATGTACCATGAGGTTGTAGTAGAGCTCAAATGAGTTAATACAAAGCACAACCAACAGTATCTGGTATATACGTAGATGCTCAAAAAATAGTGGTTATTACTATCATTATCATCATTAGATGCCAAAAGCGGTTCCAGAAAGAAGCAATAATTGCATGAAAGAGAGAACCAAAAAAAACTCAGAGACAAAGAATTTACATTTCTACTCTTTTTCTTTCATTTTTTCCATTTCCTCTGGATTTGGAGTCCATGAGCACTACTTTAAGTACTGCAGTTTAAATACTACTTCTAACGCATCAGTAAATACATACCTTATCCTTGATTATACTGTAAGATACTTGAGAGAATACAGTAATATAAAAAGTGAGTGCTCAATGACTGTTAATGACATAAATCCTTATAAGAAAACAGAATAACAAAACAGCAACCAAACAATAATTAAAATTGGGATATTAAAAGAGACCTCAAAACCAAAATCAATATACTACAATTCAAAGACAAAGAGCAGAATGAAACAAGTGAAAAGCTTTGTTCTTCACCACAATGAACAGATACCACTCTTTTTGCTCTTTCTGGGTACAACAATTTAAGAGGAATACTAAAAACCCTTGATTATGTCCAAAAGAGAGCAACTAAGAAACAGTTAAAAAACTGAGGATGCTCAGACTCAGAACAGAAAAGGTTAGTTCTCTTGCTTCCCTCTCTCATCTTCAGTGATGAGAAAAGCTATTCTATCGGAAATGCTTTAAGATTTCTGTGAGGCAGCTATCAAAAAATGGTAACTAGAGATCTAGACTTCTCTCAACTAAAAAACTTCAAAATAACATCTCTTCTAAGACAAAGATGTTATCAAAGATTAGCCATGAAAGTATGTATTAAAGCAAAAGTTGGAAATTAGCTTGCCAATGATGCCGTGGAAAGTCTCCAAGGACAAGATAATTAGTTAGAATGCTAAGTTTGCTTACAACCCTGTGACCATATAAACGAATTTTTACTGAATATCTGTTCCAGGACACTGTCCTAAACCTAGAATACAAAACCTACAAAAACAAAAAGCAAAAAAAGAGAAACACACAAAATCAAACTCTCTGCTGTCAAGGAATTCACAAATAATATATAAAATGTAGATTTCAGTTTCAGATCATAATAGATGTCACCAAGCACCATCTATTAATTGCCAAATAAGTTCTACTCATACATAAAAGTCTTCTAAGAGGGAGTAATTTCTAATGTTAAAATGGTCAGAAAAGGCTATTTAGAATAAATGAGATATGAGGTGCTTATGGAAAAATGTGTATGAATGTTTGAACAGGAAGAAGGGGAGAGCACAAATAGAAGTGAAATGCAAGTTAGAGAGAAACCTGTTTGACTACATTAAAAACCTGTTTCATGGGAGAAGAGATAAGCTGGGAGAACAGGTTGTGGCCAGAATCAATTGTACTGGGCCTTGAATACCAAGCTAAGTAATTTCAAATTTATCCTGCATAGAGCCTCTGCAACAACTATTCATCTCTGCTGCTGTAGCCATAAAAAATACTAAATAAATAGCACAGCTGGTCCGAGACGAAAATTTGAATTGCATATTATTTTCATGTGTCACAGACTATTATCATTGTTTTGATTTTTTTCTTCAACAATTTGAAAATGTAAAACTCATTTTTAACTCATGGGCCATACAAAAACAGGCTGTGAACTGATCGGGACCACAGGCCATGGTTTGCTAATGCCTGTACTACACTTAGCTGTCTTCTTCAAGAGTCTTCTAGAGGTACATTTGTCCTTGAATTTCAGGGACCAGAATAATACATGATTCACTGAACAACTACACACACCAACATATGCACATACACATGCTCACATCTTACCAAGATCTAAATCTAGTAGGGGTCAGAAGTTCCCTATATAAAGGTCCTCAAAAAAAAAAAAAAAAAAAAAAAAAACTTTAGATTACTGATAACAAGTCATTAAAATAAATGCAAGATTTTTTTAATTTTCCCACTTATTTTCACATGATATATGCACTTGGAGAGTTAAAAACTATTCTTACAGAGCCTCTAAATTACATTGAGAGCTCTGTAAAATAGAGTATAATCAAGGGAATAGTAGCAGAGGATGTTAGTTCTAGCACCAGCTCTGCTGTTTACTCATTATTTGACCTGAACGAATCACTTTCAATCGTCTGGGCCTAATTCCCTCAACTATAAAGTGGAGAGGTAACTTAGATGATTATGCTTTCTCTTACCTCTAGCATTGTATGATTCTGCTACTACTTAAAAGAACCTGTCTGGGAGCTTCAAGGATCACACAAAAGTGCTAATTAACAATACAAAAAAAGAAGAGAAAGGTCTTGACTAAATGAGTGGGTAGATAGGACAAACAGGTGGGAAAATGACCAGAAAAGTGGTATATCACTAAATCAAGAAATTGTTTTTCTAAAAAATTATCAAACCTTGCAGAGAATTCAAAGCAGAAGAGGCAAGAAAAGAAAAAAGCCAATGAATTTGGTTATTTAAGAGATAAATGGTGACTTTCAGTCTCCAGTAACCCAGAAGCAAATATAGAAGTGGAGGCAACCACTTTAATAAACAATGAGTGTGGCCATCAAAGAAGAAAAAGCTAGCTGGCTAGCTACAAAAGGCAAGGACCACAAATCATGCTTCCAGGAATCATGAAAGGAACCAGGGAAAAAGACGACTGAAGATGAGACTAAGGAATAGACAATAAAGGCATATGGTCCATAAAAAGTGGAAAGAAAAAAAAACAGTTGTGACGAATTTAAAGCCTCGAAGAAGGGAGTTCATCTTATAGGACAGATATTTAATCTTTAAACTTCTACTGCAGTTACCACTTCTTACACAACAGATATTTCTGCAAAGCTCTGTATCTATTACTACCTCATGCCTTCTATAAATCAAGTTATTAGGGAACTAAATCTAATGCTGGGTTTTCTTAAAGCAGAGTTCTACGTATATATTTTTCTAATGGTCAAAAAATTGAGAATTTTGTTTTCTATAAAAAACAGCAATATGTAGCTCTAAAAGGAATACATATTTATACCTTTCTTATAGCACCTATCACTTCCTTCCTTGTATAAGAGTTACTTATGTGGTAAAGTACCTAGTCCCTAGCTGGAGTACAACAAACACCAGTGTTCCCTTTCTTAGTAGCTCATAAAGTTCCCAAGGCAAGAATTCTCATTAATTCATCTGTTTATCTGCTTTGCACGGAGTTGGTGACGCTTGATGAACAAATACTGACATATAACTCTCTGCCTTTTACAAAATCGTCCTTGCAAAACAACTATCACTGTCCATCTGACAAACCTGGGAAAATACTTGTATCATACAGGTACATAACTCCAATAGTATCACCGTTGCATAGTGTCAGAGCTTGCTTAAGCAGCAAAGAATGGCTACAAAACAAGTAAAACAGACACAAAAAAATTTTAAGATTCTTTAATGATCACTCATAAATTTCAAGATCCCAAATAGCCAATTTCAATCCAACACTTGTCTCTATTTAAGGTATATGAGAAATAAAAATCCAAAGCCTTAGCCTGATGATCAGCCAGTTAAAAATACACGTTTGAATACGCCGAAGATATTTATAAAGCCAAGAGATACTATTAATATGTTGAAATTCGCTGGCCAGTGCTGGATTCTACCCTTACTCTTCTACTACTATTCAGGAGAAGCCAAGTAGTCAAGGCTTCTCGTATCACTTGCTTTTAAGAATTTAAGAAGTCACTCAAATTGGCATACACAACCCAATCTCAAAATAAATAAATAAATAAATAAAGTAAAATAAGAGTTCAGCTCTCCATATGGTCATGTTCGCCTATGTCCTTCCTTTACATGAATGTCCCAAGTACTACTTTTCCACGATCTTCGTTCGGTAGGCCCCATTTAGGCCAATAGTACTACCAAGTAACAGGAGTTGAAAAAAAGTCGTAACAGTTAAGTCTGTCCTCCCACAGATCTCACTTGGGTGTAGATTTCACAAGCGCTGAAAGCTAAACGCTGCCACTGTCAAACCCAGAAGCAGCACCGTCACCCTGCCGTGCCCATCGGCAACTGTTCCAGAAGGTTTTCTTTGAAACGATTTCTCTCTCTCGGCTCGACACGTTAAACAAGAACTTAAAAGGCTACCTTCTCCCCTAAAGCAGAACCCGATTCCTTCCCGTCCGCTCCCTTAGCCGTCCAGTCCCGCAGACCCGAGGCGGGAGGTCCGCTCTCCAGCCCCCAGAGCCAGCGGGTCTCCCAACTGCTCCCGGCACCCACCGTCCACCCCCCACCGCTTCCCGCCTCCTCCTTCCCGCGGAGCCGAGCCCGCACCCCGGCTGGGCCCTCAGGCGGCCCCCCGGCCCGGGCCTGTGCTGCCTCGAGCGGCTGCAGGCCTCAGGCCTAACCTCCTCCGGGGCCCCTCACCTCTTTCGGGACCAGTTGGTTCTCCTCGCCGGGCACCATCGCTCAGGCTCCGGCCGCCTCCTCTCCGCCCTGCCGGGGGAGAGTGGAGGGCGGTAGCGGCTAGCTAGCTCAGGAAAGAAACGAAGCGGCAGTCATCCTGTCCGCCGCCTGCGCTCCAGCAACCGTGGAGGCCTCAGCCTGAGCCTCAGACACCAGCGCGCAGACACGGACCCGGGACTCCGCCGACTCCGCCGCCGCCGCCACCGCCGCCTTCGTCGTCGGCCCCTCCCCCAGCCCGCTGCAATCAATGGAAAAATGGCGGCGGCCGCTCTCGCGAGAATTCGGCCGGTCGGGCTCGGGGCCCGGCGCCTGTCGCCCGAGGCGGCCAGCGCTTGTCGCTCGCTTCTAGTCACCTCGGCTCTTCCTCAGCCCCGGGAGGTACAGAATCAGCCGAACAGCCAAGCAAACGCTTTTCGTTAGACGAGAGCTCGACTTTTCATCTCGGGACTCCCTCTGCCGGCCGGGAAAAGACCAGGCCCACTGTCCTCCCTGCCTTCTCGGGCTCTCCGACTCCCTGCTCAGCAGGGAGAGACTCGAACCGAAAGCCCCTTCTCTGCCCCCAGCCACTCGTCCTCTTCTGGCTTCCCGGTAGCACACCGCGGACGTCACCCCCTCTGCAGGCACCCCAGGCCTCGTCCTTGCAGAGACGCCACCGCGGACCACCTCGCGGCCTCCGCCCCTAGACGCGGCTCTGGCCCTTCCAGCCGGAGTGGACCGCGTTTTATTTGCTCCCGTTCACTCTGCAGACGTTCTTTTCCCCTCACCCCACCCTCCTTCTCAGGGCTCGCCGGCTGGAGGGACCTCGGGCCACCTCCCGCCGGGGGAGGCAGTCACCCCTCCCCTTGTGGAGCGGTGTCCTCACCGCCCGCCCGCCGCAGCGACATTGGAGAGGTGCTCCCCTGCCCCCTTCCAGGGAGCTTCCCGATGGCCAAGTCTGAGACTGAGCTGGCCTCCAGGAGTAGAGCTGCAGAATGCTTCAGCCTGAGATACCCGTTAGCAGTGTTTTTAGAGAACTTTAATCTTCTCTAGCAGTGAGCATGGCGCTTTGTATTGTACTCGGCAAAGTTGGCAGTAGTCCGTTTTCCAAATCCTACTTCCACTCTGGTGACTCGGCGGGGCTCCTTCGTGAAGACTTTTACGGATACGGTGATCTCACAGCATGCCGAGATAATACAATCCTGTCAGGTTCCTAACACCCACAGCATTAACTGCCTGCACTTGTGTTTTCCAAACTTTGATTGTGCTCCCATGAACAAAAAAGAAAAAATGATAAAAAAAAAAAAAAGAAAGAAAAATGATATCCATTTACTTACATAAGTTTTATATGTGTCCTGCTGTGTGCAGAATTATAAAACATTGTAAAACTTAAAAAAGATGAGACAAAAATGAAATAAACATTTAAAATAACTTATTTTTCATATTAATGGTATAAAATCTTTGTTATTCCACTAAAAATATTTAGTGAAGTCACTATGATTGACTAGGATGTGTTAGTTTTAAAAATCTTTAATACTTTCTGAAATAGTTATTCAAATGTCTAATTCACGTTAGGTTCTTTCTGTACTTGGTTTTAATGGCTGTCATAAGCTGAAAAAAAGACAACTCACAAAGATGTGGATCCTAAAGGAAGAAGTACATTTTTGACCACTCTTCCTAATGCATGTTTAGGAAGATTTTTTTTTAAAGATGTTTTTCAAAAGTCCCATTTTTATCCATTTCATCCATCAACTATGCAAAGGTTTTTGCTGAAATTCAGCTAGTAGTGTTCCATCTTCCCTGATGTCAACCAGAAGATGTTGCATTTTTATATTTTTATAAATGGGTTCAAAGCTCTTTGGAATAAATTACTCAGAAAAATTTTAAGAGGTTGAAAATTTCTGTCTTCAAGTTTTAAGTATTCATGTATGAGTGTTGGGGACGGTATTGATCTTGTCTTTAAGATTTTGCTATTTTGAGTGTCATGGATTGATTAAAATGAATTTTGACTTTTTACAATATTGTATTAAAATTGGTTATCTTGATTATTGAATTTTTGGCACCCCCCTGAAATATTGTGCCCAAGGTGAATGGTTTTCATCTTGAAAACCATTTGCTTCACCATAGTCCCAGCCTTAGGTGGCTCCCATATATCATTTTTGCATCAAAATCACATGATGGAAATATTTCCAAACTTCTATTTTCAAAATGTCATCCCCGTGACTTAGTAAGGTGTCTTCTGTAGTGCTGGCCAGTGCTGTAGTGCTCACACTGGAAGTAGAAATGTCATCTCTGTCATCATCTTTTTTGCTTGCATTTGCAATATTATCTCCAACTCATGTTATCTTTCCAGAGATCCTCTTTAGCCACTTTCATTTTAGTAAAGGTTGATATAATGAAATAAGAATGTAATTGATAAATCTACTTAACCCCGCACACATGAACTGGGATAAGTTACAACATACTAAAAGAAAATAAAATGAAAAAATCCCTGAATTTTCTACATTGCAGAACTCACACTTTTCACTCAGAAGTGAGATGTCAGTGTTTATATATTCAATATAAATAAGATTTAATTTTGTGTTTTAGATTAAAATAAATATAGAAAGAAGGTCTAACATTTTCTTCCCACAATCCCCCTTTTCTGATTGCACACTCTTTCTTTATAGGCCACTGGCTTGACTGTAGGACAGCCTGATAGGTTGGTAGGTATACAATTAATATTTGTGGAATAAGTATGTGGATTTAGGAATCGATTAATGAATAAATAGACAAATATATGGCTACTCTTCCTAATATATTATTACTGAGATTACATGGATATGTGTTTATTTATTTACTTTATATATGAATTTTATGTCTCCAGTCCTCACCTCTCCTATAGGCTCTAAACTTATACATCTACCTTTTTAATGGCTCAATTCCTCCCAAATTTAAACTTGAACACAACATTTGATTTCCAAGCCTCCCCTACCTCCTGCAAGAGATCCTCTATCAGTTCTCCCCCACCTTGATAAATTACACCATCATCAATTCAGTTTATCAAACCAAAAGCCTGAGACTCTTCATCTTATATTCAGTCTCTTTGTATGGGCTGTTGCTTTCACCTCTGAAACAACCTCAAATCCATCCACTTTTCTTTGTATCCACTGCTGCACATCCCACTCCAATTACTTTATTATTTTGCCTGGACTACTGCAGTTGCTTCCTAACTGGGTTCCTGTTTCTAATCTTATCCCTCAACAATCCATATTCCATCGAGCAACCAGAGTGATCTTTCAAAACTATGTCAGATCCTTCCCAAATCTTCCAAAGATGTCTCATCCCTCTTAGAATAAAATTTATATTCTTTACCGTAGCCTGTAAGACTCAACATAATCGAACCCCTGTCTGTCTTTCTGCAGTCATGTGCCACTCTTCCTCCTACGCTCAGTGACCCAGCTACTCTGCCTTTATTTAGCTTTTTAAATACACAAAGTTTGTCTCTGCCCCAAAACCTTTGTAGTCGTTTTTTTTTTTTTTTTTTTTTCTTTCCCTGAAATGTTCTTTGCCCAGATCTTTTCTCTTACCTGGTTCAGTCTTTTCATTTGGGCTTCTCAATTGCTAAGTCTTCGAAGAGGCCTTTCATGATAATCCAGTCTCAACTTGTATTATCTCAATGGCTAGAACAATGCCTGGCACATATTAGGTCATTAATAAATTATTGTTGAATTAAAAACAAAAACCAGGCCGGGCGCGGTGGCTCAAGCCTGTAATCCCAGCACTTTGGGAGGCCGAGGCGGGTGGATCACGAGGTCAAGAGATCGAGACCATCCTGGTCAACATGGTGAAACCCCGTCTCTACTAAAAATACAAAAAATTAGCTGGGCATGGTGGCACGTGCCTGTAATCCCAGCTACTCAGGAGGCTGAGGCAGGAGAATTGCCTGAACCCAGGAGGCGGAGGTTGCGGTGAGCCGAGATCGTGCCATTGCACTCCAGCCTGGGTAACAGGAGCGAAACTCCGTCTCAAAAAAAAAAAAAAAAAAAAAAAAAAAACAAATGCCAAGACTGGTGTAGGTCAGAGACTGATGATTTTTCTTATAATTTCTTTGGGAATATTTTCGTTTTCCTTTTCACATGAAAATGTTCATAGTATAATCCCAGTCAAAGCATTAAAAAAAAAAACACACACAAACCTAGTTTGGAGGACTTTCTACAGGATGTCTGGTCAGTATTCCTTAAGACTGTTAAGGTCATAAAAAACAATGGAAGATTGAGACACTGCGGTAGACCAGAGGAGACTGAGGAAATACAACAAGTAAATGCAATGTGGTACTCTGGATTGGATCCTGAAACAGGAAGAAGCCATTAGTGAAATAAAACTGGTAAAATTCAAATAAAATCTGTATTTGGTTGATGTTTATGTTTAATGTCCATTTCTTAGTTTAAAAAAAATTTTTTTAATTTAATACTTCATTTTTATTAACAGCAAAATACCTTATTTTTATTAATAACAGCAAAGACTATATTTAAATGGTAAATGAGAAGAAATTGTAATTAAACTTTATGTTTTTAGAGCCATTTTAGGTTCACAGCAAAATTGAGCTGAAAGTACAGAGGGTTCTCAGACACTGTCCCTACGCAAACACACCTTCTCCACTTGAAAACTCCCACCGCAGTGGTACATTTGTTACAACTGATGAACCTACATTGACACATCATTATCATCCAAAGTCCATAGTTTACATTAGGGTTGATTCTTGATGATGTGCATTCCATGTGTTTTGATAAATGTGTAATCATATATAGCCACCATTGCAATATCATACAGAATAGTTTCACTGCCCTAAAAATACACTATGTTCTACCTATTAATTCCTCCCTCTCTTTTAACTCCTGGCAATCACTGATCTTTTTACTGTCTCCATAATTTTACTTTTTCCAGAGTTTTGGAATCATATGGTAGGTAGCCTTTTCAAATTGGCTCTTTCACCTAGCAATAGCATTTAAGTTTCCTCTGTGTCTTTTCACGGCTTGATAGTTCATTTATTTTTAGCACTGAATAATATTCCAACATCTGGATGTACCACAGTTCATTTATTCATTCACCTACTGAAAGACATCTTAGTTGCTTCCAAGTTTTGGCAATTACCAATAAAGTAAATAAAATGCGGGTGGTTACCTATGTGCACGTTTTTGTGTGGTCATAAATTTTCATTTGGGTAAGTATCAAAGAGCATGACTGATAGATTGCACAGTAAGGGTATATTTTGGTTTTGGAAAAAACCTGCATGATGTTTTCCAAAGTGACTATGCCATTTTTTATTCCCACCAGCCATGAATGAGAGTTCCCGTTACTCTACCACATCTTTGCCAGTATTTGACATCATCAGGGTTTTTATTATGACCATTCTAACACAGGTATAGTGGTATCTCATTTCATTTTGCAATTCCCTAATGACATACGATGTTAAACATCTTTTTATATACTTACTTGCCGTTTGTTTATCTTCTTTGGTAAAGTGTCAGTTCCGGTCTTTTGCCCATTTTTTACATTGGGTTGTTCATTTTCTTATTATTGACTTTTAAGAGTTCTTTGTATATTTTGGATAACAGTTCGTTATCAGATGGTTCATTTACAAGTATTTTCTTCCTGTCTGTGACTTGTCTTCTCATTCTCTTGATATTGTTTGTCACAGAGCAGAAATTTTTAATTTTAACAAAGCCCGGTTTATCAATTACTTATTCCATGGATCTTGTCTGTAACAGTGTATCTGAAAAGTTATTACCAAACCCAAAGTCTTCTAAGTTTTCTCCTTTGTTATCTTCTAGGAGTTTTATAGTTTTAAATTTTATATTTAGGTCTATGATTCATTTTGAGTTCATTTTTGTTAAGGGTATAACGTTCGTGTCTAGATTCA